TTCTATTTACCTCGTATCATGTATAAATACTGCTAAATTTCAAACGTTACCGTTCTCATGCGTTTGGCAACTTTGCGCGGCGTGCTCGCGACAACATACGCCGTCGGACCGCACCTTAAGAAATCCGAACTCAAAAGGTTTTATCACGGGAAACGAAAAAAGCACCTAGAATCATGTCCCGTATTTTAAAAGAAGGCTTAGGACTTGCAGCCTATATCTGAGTTTCTTGCCGGTTCTTCTCAGCACAAGGTCTCCCGCCGTACTTTGCGAACCAATGGTGTAACTTCTCGACCTTCACAAGTGCTTGTAACAGCCTAGACCGAATTAATGATTTTTGAGTTTGAGTTTAAAAAAGACGAAATGCTCATTCTTTAACTGATAATTCAGAAAATCAATACGGTGGTAAAATTAAAACAACTTCATGTGTGGCACGCAAAGAGAGGTCATCGAAAAATTTTCTCGTTAACTCCGAAAGGTCATGGTTCGTTCAATTATTCAGACTGCCGTGGCAAAATAAGAAGCAGAACAGAAGCGCAGCCCCGTAGAAACGAAAACGAACGAAACAGGCTCAAGCACGCAAACACGCGAATGTCGACCTTAAAACCACGCAGATTGGGTTGGAGATGGGAATATGATTTCGTCTCGTACACGTCGCAACTTTAGAATTGAAGTGACATAAATAAAAAAAAATGGATGCGTGTAACTTATGTACGCGCGTGAGAAGTTATACTTCTTTAGCATCATTAAAAATATTTTTTAATTGCATGCAAATAATTAATAATTACAATAAAATAATAAAAGGACTGGAAAAGGATAGTTAACACAGTCAATTAAGTTCAGTTTTAATTAGAAAAATTAAATAAATATTCAATTAAAATCACTACTGAATTTAAGTTATTAGTCCATATGTAATTAGCACTTGTAAGTAACTAAAACACGTTGTGTCTATATAGAAACTAGAAACATGTGGATAAATATTATAAATATGAAAACAGTGATCAGAGGCGACGAGCGTGCCAACATTGTTTTTGACAACGCGATCATCTTATGGAGCTCCGTGGATCGTTCAAAGGACCTTTCGAACAGATGTCTAATTTGCGCGTTATGAGCGTTAGTCATTATTAGACACTAACATTCATAACGCGCCCGCAGCCAACTTCATGGTGTTACTTTCGGGTTACAGTGATGCGCGCGCATCTAAAAATTTCACTCTCATCATTTTTTCATAACGCGCCTAAAGAAGTATAACTTCAAAAATAGCAAAATGACTTAAAAAACGCCATAAAAACATGTATTCTATCAGTTTATTAATAACTAGTGGCCCGCCCTCGCTTCGCTTCGGTGTTGAGCTGTAGTGTAGACTAAAATGACTCTTCATATAATAATAAAAAAAAATCTGAAAATCGTATCAAATATAATCAGAATGCTCCGATCTGCTAAGCTATCAGGAGTTACACGTGTTATTGTGAGTCAACCATAAAAGATAGACATATGCTGTTGCGGAATATTTTTTAGACAATTTTATGTAAAATATTTCCGTTATACATGATTTCTATGTAACTTTAACCATTAAGGCTGCACACGCGACGGAAGCTTAAAAATGGAGTAACTTCTCCCGTTTTCCCAACATTTCCCTTCACTGCTTTGCTCCTATTGATTGTAGCGTGATGAAAAGTATACTATAACCTGCCCAGGAGTATGAAGAATAATTGTACCAAGTTTCGTTAAAATCCGTCGAGTAGTTTTTGTTTCTATAAGGAACATACACACAGACAGACAGACAGACAGACAAAAAATTTACTGATTGCATTTTCAGCATCAGTATCGATCACTAATCACCCCCTGATAGTTATTTTGAAAATATATTTCATGTACAGAATTGACATCTCTACAGATTTATTATAAGTATAGATATAGATAAACAGGCTCTTTTAGGCCAGAAGAAGACAAACATACTATTTCCGTCTCTTATAAATGACACGCATACCGCGCCTCCCTTTGTATTGAAGTACCCCATTCAGTGTTGCGTGGACATTTATTTAATTTTCCTTTAATTTAGAAAATCATTAATTATTAAACTAGCATATTTCAAAATTGGTCATCTATCAAATATATAACATCAGAAATGAATCGCCTCTATATTAAATAGTTTCGTTTTTGTTTTACGAGTAAAAAATGGGCACAAAGTGAAATAAGCCAATTATAATAATCTGTTTTCGGAAAATAAGTGTCATTTTTTTTGATGATTAATTAACAAAGGTTCTAATTAGTTATACAGACTGGTTTAGTAAATAATCGTGAAAACAATTCCTATCCTAACATTAACAATAAAAAATATGATAATAAATGTACAACTTATAGCATTATAATAGAAAAACAAAAAAATGGCCAACTTGTCAATCACATTTATAGCGTTTACCAAAAAACAAGAATTTTGGATTAGGTCATTTCAATTCTAAAGGTGCGACGTATGGTGGCCCCGAGCATACCTACCTCGGTATTCCCATAAGTGTGCGTGAGTCCGTTTCGCTTTTAGATGCGAAACTTCTTTTCGGATGGAATGTAAATGGAAAAATCCTATGAAAAAGATGAAACGGAAATGCATCACGAGCGACACACGACTTTAGGAGTGTATATAAAATTATCATCTTCCTTTCATTTAAAATGATATGTTATTTAGTAAAAAAATGATACCTTATGATAAACCCTTTAACGGTAATCATAATAAATATATTATTTTCACATTTCACGAGTTCGATTCCCGGTTGAGGCAGGTAATTTAAAAAAAACCTGTGAATGCAGTTCCACTTATTATTAAAAATAAAATAATGTCACCTTTCAGTAAAATATCCTATCTTCAATATTTAATATATTTTTCTTTCGTGTGGCAGTGCCATGTGACGCCCTGTATATTATATATATATATATGTGTGTACAATATATACTCATATATATATGTGTGTACAATATAGAGAAAGAAAATGTGCGCGCGCACTGTTTTCTCATGCGTGGGGGATATAACCCACTCAACACACTTTTCGTAACGCGTAACGTATTCGCCAGCTTACCCCCCAAAGTCAAGCGTGCATAAAGAAGTTCAACTTCAACAAAACGTACCTACCATGACAGTCTAGAGATGAGCCAATTGGCTCATTTCTATGGCTGGTATTCTGTATCCTTTTATGCCCTTCCTTAGTTCCTTCCTTAAAAACTGCTCACCTCGCGATCGGAGCGGTACAGCGGCACGGGATCAAAACAAAAAATAAAACGTATTCCTTACATTCGCCGCCATATTGTGGACGTCCTGTTTGGTATTCGTGAGGCGTGGCGTGTAAGCTAGCAGTGTGATGGATACAAAGTCTCAGACGCGCCTCAGTAGGAAGACAAACAGGAAAAATAACAATTTCTGTAAAACGCCCGGCGTGAAAGGTTCGATTTACAATTGAAGAAACAAATATTTTGCTTCGTATAAAATAAAAAAACCAAAATTTATTAAAATGTCAACGATAATAATTAAATAAATATTTCCAACACTTACACCAAATAGCCTGGCCCAAAAGGAAGCACTGTAAGGCTTGTGTTATGGAATGCTAGGGTAACGGATAGAATTCATATACTGTACATATATACGTTTATTTATATAGAAATACATATTAAACATCCATGACTGTAATACAAATGCTCGTATTCATCACACAAACATGTGCCCCCACCGGGATTCGAACCCGGGACCTCTCGAGTTGGCGACACCATGAAACCCGGCGTACAAACCACTCGGCCACGGAGGTCGTCGGCTTTATGTAAGCTTTTTGTGTAAAATTGTAATCAAACAAAAATAATGAAGAATATCATATTAAGTTTATGGTGTAATTTTCGTTATAAATAAAATCAGTTAATTTTGTAACATGTACGCAACATGCATCTTTAAATTATATAAAACTGGCCAAGCGCGAGTCTGGCCCTGCTCTATTAGGGTTCCGTAAAAGCATTTCATTGTTTTTGTCACAAGTTACAAAGTACGTTATGAGACGGCGTTTTCAGTATTTGTAGTTTAAATACAGTATATGGAGACATCCTATAGTAAAATTTCACATTCTTAACTAGTTCCGAGTTTTGAGATAGACCTAGTAACAAAAATGGTTTAAAAATAACAACTATGAAGGCCCCTCATTTCTTAGCTATTAAGAATAATTGAATTTTTAATTAAATATTCGGCTTTAGGTAAGCATTCTACCTGAAATATCAAAAGTTCCTTTCTGTAACTCATTCCGTTAATGATATAGAGACCCGTGATATAAGGACAGACAGGCAGACAGACGACAAACAGTGACAGCAAAAGGGTTCCATTTTTACTGTCTAGTATAAAGTATTTTTTCTGTCTAGTATGACTCAGAACTATACTACTGTTATTTGGTCAAGTCACACGCTATGTACGCATCACGTTTTTTCCATTCGTAGCAGACGTAGCCGCTACAAGCTCCGCTGTAGCTACGACGTAGACAATGCCATACATTTATTTCCCTACGAAAGCTGTTGCTTTTCAAAAAGTATTCTGTGAATGAATTCAGAGGTAACACTAGTTATATTTTTTTTTGGGAAATTCTATTATTCAATTGAATAAGATTAACTTCTTCTCTAAATTATGAAGACATGATCAGCGACAAAAAGTAAAAGAAAAGCCTAATAAATATAAGGTTTACTTCAACTTCGAGATGCCTGTTTATCCTTGTAATTGAATGATTTCGTTCCACGGCTCTCCGCCGGACAATAAACGTTTTTGTATTCCGAAATTGGATTATTTGTGGATTTCATGTCTTCGCGAAGATTTTTCCAATTTTATTAAGAAAATATGATCGCCAATCTCTCAAACTTAATGTTTTTTTGATGGGGCGGAATAATCAGTTTGCAAAAGGCATGTCTGTCATTGTTATGTCCTGTTACGCTCATAATAAGTAGCGGGAACAGATTTACTTGTTGATTGTGGGCGTCGCGGGCGGAATAGGGTGGATGCGGTGAGCGGGGGAGTGTCCCGGCCAGAAGGATGCACCGCTGCAGGACCGGGCGTGCAGGAGCCAGCCCCGGCTATATAAGGGGCGCGCACGGCCGCCGCGTCATAGTCGCCGGCGGAGCGCAGCGACGGACGGTCTCCGCGACATGTGCGACCCACCGCTCAACGCGACGAACTTCAGTTTTTACGAAAGTTTGTCCGAAGCTAATTCCACTTTCGCCGCCAACCTTACGCTTTTCGATTACGTCGTCGAGCAGGTAGCGGGCTTGTTGAACGTCTACTATACGCCGCTGTTAGTAGTCTTGGGTTCCCTCGGCAATCTCGTGTCCGTTTTCGTATTCTACAGCAGCAAACTCCGGTTGCAGTCAACCAGTCAGTATCTCTCCGCTTTGGCACTATCCGACACTGTTTTCCTATTTCAACTGCTGCCGCCTTGGTTAAACGCTCTGCAGATAACGGGACTGTTTCACTTGTGGGGCTTCTGCCAGGTGTTCGTATACATATCGTACGTGACGTGCTGCTTGAGTGCTTGGTTGGTGGTGGCATTTACTGTGGAACGGTTCGTGGCGGTGCTGTACCCCTTGCGAAGGAACGCAGTGTGCACAGTAGCGCGGGCACGGCACGTCATCGGAGCGCTCGCAGCCGCTGCGTTGCTGCTGAACGTACCTGTACTGCGCTTCGCCATCCCTACCACCAATGATTGCAACATCGACTACACGTATCTGGAGCATGCGGCCCGGTTTAATCTGGTGGATACTGCGGTTACATTTACTGTACCACTCGCTGTAATTATAATCCTGAACACATGGATAATGATCGGGGTATGGAAGCTGGAGCGAGCGAGGCATCAACTGATAAAGGCGGAGCAGCCAGTGGGGAGGCGGCCGCGAGCCACGCGCATGGTGGGCTGCCCGCGCTCGCAGCAGCGTGTCACCAGGATGCTGCTCATCGTGTCGTCCGTGTTCGTCGTGCTTAACCTGCCGGCGTACACCATGCGTATCTTAGCCTATGCTATCGACCTGGTAAGTGCTTGTTCTCCCAGACACTTATTCCCTCTGGCGAAGGAATTTCCTGTTTTTATTTCCTGTTTTGACACACGTCATGCCTTTGTGTAATGCTCGCTAAGCGATGTAAATGTTCTTGTTCTTGTGCGTTGAATTTAGTAGATTATGGTCCTGAATAGATTTATTTGAATTTGATTGCGAAATTTGTATGACATACATGTTGATTATTTGTTGTCTTACGAAAGAGTAAATATTGCAAATGTGCTATTGCTCTGGCAGGAATGCTGAAACGAGAGAGCGATTCTGCGTTATTAGATTAAACATCTTAGTAATGTATTAGATGTTCTAAGTTACATTAGAGACAATAGAAAAATAAAGAGAATGATTCTTTGATCTCAACAATTTTCTCGCCACTTTTATATTATAATAATTGACCTGTAATGCCCTGCGAACTATGAACGCTGATATTGGTATATGATTGATATATAGTCTAAAAATACATATTTTAGAGATTTACAATAGAAATGTTTTAATACAAATAACCACTTTTTCCGTTTTACGGCTGAAGAAGTTCGGAAAAGTTAACTGAGTTGTTGATCTAAGCTCTTGGACACTTTAATTGTCTCTACATAATAAGATCGACAGTATAAAAATATTTGTCAGATTCATAAAGTATAATGCTGGTGTAAAAATGAGATTAAGGGTACGACAATGACAAATATGTTCATAGTTATTACAGAACAATACATTAAAAAATACTCTGTATTTATTTTTAATGTCGTATCTATAAAGGCTATGTAGTTAGTGTGATTGAAATCAAACACAAAAAAGTTACATGTAACCCAACGACTGGCTTAAACAAAACACAACAAATTTGTAATTACGAACTTACAACATACTAACGAAATAAATATAAAAGAAATTAGGACAAATACAACTTTTAGATAAACAAGTCTCGCGGGTTTATAAAAGTGATTGAAAAAGGATTGGGCCTACAAGTTTTTTATTTACCCAACTAAATCTTTTGCAGCACAAGAAACTTTTACCTTTTTTATTTAACACTGACATCTTTTGCGAATACGTCACTCGAGTAGAATCCATTTAAAAAAACGTCAGATGTAATAAGAAATAGTTATACATATCGAATTAACGAGCATCTATGATTTTCATTTTTTGTATAAAGATATACAGACATTAGCCTAATTTTATTTATAAAGAAGCACAACAAATAAGATTTTCAAGACATTTACGACCTCCGTGGCCGAGTGGTTTGTACGCCGGGTTTCATGGTGTCGCTGACTCGAGAGGTCCCGGGTTAGAATCCCGGTGGAGGCAGATGTTTGTGTGATGAAAACGAGCATTTGTACTCCAGTCATGGATGTTTAATATGTATTTCTATATAAATATACTTATATGTACAGTATATGTATTCTATCCGTTACCTTAGTATCCCATAACACAAGCCTTACAGTGCTTAATTTGGGGCTAGGCTAATTGGTGTGAGTGTTGGAAATAATTATTTATTTATTTAAATTCACAATATTTACAATAACCTTAGTTAATATAAAATTATACCAGACTGTAAAACTATCATATCGGTTGTAGGCTACATAACCTGGAAAAACATATCTCGAGCGGATTTTTTCTAGTAAAGTTTTAGTTATAATTACTTCTTTCTTTCTTTTATTCTTCTTTCAAATGTTTAATACTTGTAAAGAATTTCATTTGACGTTGTGGGTTACCTATAATGCGAAGAGATGGCGCAGCCTTGCATCTTAGGAAAGGCTAGAAAGAATTCGACCAGGCCGTCAGGGCCGCAGTAGCATAATGGTCGGTGCATTCGCCCGAAAAGCGAAGGGTGCGGATCCGAGTCCCATCTGCTGAGGATTTTTTTCTAGTAATATTTTCTTTAGTTGCAGGAGTATACTAGTTGAATCTTTAATAAAACCATAACAATGTTGTTATATAACTAATTCATAAGGAATAAAAAGAAAAACATTTAATGTGTAAATGGAATGTACTCTCCTTTCTTCGAGTTGATTGTTTTAGGTTTTTTTTTTCACCAATTATTATGCAAATGTAATGGGCGGGATGTAAACTTTCATCGGCCATTACCGCGGAACCTCGTAAACAAGTCGTTTTAAAATATTCGAATTAGTCATAAATTGGACACGAACAACGCAACGAATAAATGATTATCCTCCCCCAATGACAAAGCTTTTAAAGGATTTGAATTGCACTGTACAGGATACATTAACACAGCTAAATGTTTTTGGCTATATTTACTTATTGAGTATACAGAATTGAAAACCTTCTTTCAATGTATGTAAGGATCTTTTCAAAATGACAGCAATTTTTCTTTACCTACGTAGGATTGACAAAATGCGCAAGTTGCTACTTTTCATCGTTGATAGTATAAGGAGTCTGATGGATAGGGTCGTTTAGGAAATATGTAGGCGGAGATACAATCAGTCCTACAGTGCAGAGTATAGGTGTACAGAAACACAACTTTAAACTATACTACTAGTGTATTTTTGAAGTGAAAACTTCTTTAGCGGCGTTCTACACTTTTTTTGTATGTATAAAATGTTAAACTCGCGTCATGACACGTGGGCTGATCGCATCACAGGCCACGTGTCCTGATCGTTACTAGCATTAATCTTTACCTAAGCATAAAACGAAAACTTCCCTAATAATTTTGAATTCTGTACTCGCGAAACAAAACATGCTCTAGATCAAAACACTTTTTTTTTCACAACACTTAAGATAAATCCTGTTATTTTGCATCTCTAGTCAGATCGCGCCATCTGTCAAATTCCCGTCTTAAGTTGTGTTTCTTTGCAGAAAATTCGTACCTATTGCTATTTTCATTTTAGAGATAAAATATCAGGTCTTATTTTTGTGAGCTACGTGTTTCCGTTGTATGTAATGGGAGAGTAATGCGGTTAATTTCGCTAAACACTATCCATTTATTGCTCCACAATGACTCAGGGAGCCACGTCCAGACCCGAAAGGAAAAATAAACATTTACCCTAAAAAAGCAAACCATATTAATAGTTAATTAGGCGCGCCATTTTCCCTTAATGACCAGCAATGAAAAAAGCTCTGTGTAGATAGTTTCTCGACAACGAATAATACTACGGTCTTAATTAAAAATCTAATCCCGTTGTCGAGTTGTAGAGATAGCCTTAAACTTAGAATAGGAGAAAAAATCGGGTAAATACATGTTACAGACAATGTTAATAATTGTCCATTAGAAGTGAGTGATTTTAGCACATTAGTTTTTACATAACATTTACTTTAAACTCGTTGTCACGGTAATATTATCTATACAGTATTCTATCTTCATACAAACGGTCGGAATGCGTGTCATACCTACGCCACTCGAGTTCTCGCGGCATCCAGTGGGCATCCAGTAGCGAATGCGCCGCAGCGACGACTGAACGGTGTGAATTGTTTTTAAGCAGTTAGCCGTGCTTAAACTTGTATTGTAAACATTTGATTGAATTAAGTAGATACCTACATAATTTAATATGGCAAAGAGCAATAGTCGATATTGTGCTGTTTTCGGTTACTTGACCTCTTCAATAAAATTAAACTTTTTATACGAATGCGTATTTATTATACTTTTAAATTTGATAATAACGCTTTTCGTACGTCTCAGTCGAGGCGTAGATATATATTTTTCTGTCTCAAATCGTTTTTATTTTTATTAAATATTACAATTAAAATAACATGAATTTTATGTAACACTTCCTAATTCATTCACAACATTTTTTTACATATAAAATAAAATATTTACAATCACCAAACTAGAAAGAAACTCAATTATGTAGATGAAACTAAAACACTATAGGCGGGCAGCCCTACCGCGTGGATACGCCCCGCTCGGCTGTAGGCAGTTATTTCAAGGACAGGGCCGAGTCACACTACTGTATAGATAATATTACCGTGTCGTTGTCATATGTATCGAGGGACTGAGAGACCATAAAAAGTGCAACACCTTAACGAAATCATATTATGCAATATTTGAATCTGTCATCTAGATATATACAATTGTCACACATAAACTACTTTACATAAGTATCTGTCCGATTAAAGTGATTGATAAATGTTATATAAGGAATATATACCCAGTCCCCAAGATTCATTCTATTGTTACTCGTATTAGGGAAAGTTCCGGAGACGAATGGTGCCGATAAAGAATTCGACCTTCTTCTTTTACATATTAAACGTTGAAAGAGCACAGGGAACTTTTGATGAAAAAAGGTGAAAATCCACATACAAAGACTCATGTCAAGCTTGATCGCATTACGTATATTACAAATACAGCATGTAATTCTTCAAACGAATTTGACAGGAAAGGTATGATTATTTTTATTATGGTTTATATCTGTTTATTTGATGTCTTCTTTTTTTATTACATCTAAAGAAAAGACGAATTGTCCGGATTTCGGATGAAAGCTCAAAACGAAACCAATTTTTGGGGGGGCATATTCGATTACAGATTACAAGCTCGTGGCTCGTGAACTCAATCATATGCCATGCGCTAAACATGACAAGATCCAATGCTCAATTTTCCTTTTCTTTGAGTGTCCTACTGCGCATTTCTTTTCTATTTATTCATATTTAATAATAAACATACAATATTTGTTGTTTACGTTCCATGTCTATTTTCTTAATATTTATATAGGATTGCTATACTACTTAAGAAAAAAAACTCCATTTCTGCTCCACCGGTTGCAGTATAAAAACATGTTGTATAAAAAGACTCAACATTGTCACGCCTTTTCTATAATAGTACTTACCCCATGGAGCGTTCTTAACTTTAGTAATTGTTAAAACAATACTGCAACATCTGCTAAAATTTCCTCATCATCATTATCAGCCTATTAATGTCCCCACTGCTGGGGCACAGGCCTTTCCTATGGATGGAGTAGGGAGATTGGGCCATGGCCCAGTGCGGATGGTTGGTGCTAACTGCAGATGCATCCGGGACCAACGGCTTAACGTGCTTT